AAAATGGAACCCCCCAATAATCCCCGAGTTTCCCCAATGTAGTAATGGGTTCATATTAGGAGGATTCCATTTTTTGGATCCTTTAGGGGGTTTGCTTAGAGGCTGAGCTTAAATCCCAAACCGTAAGCCCCGAACCTGCAGGTTATTTTGAGGGTTGCCGTTGATTTTGCAACCCTCACTGTAGAGACCCCACAAGCAGAGACACCATTTTTTTTTGAGCCTAAACCCCAAAACCCTAAAACCCACAACTCGCCCCGTATGTCAGGATGACTAGATCCAGTCAGCAACAGTAACCCTAAACCCTAAACGTTCAACCCTAAACCCTAAACCTTAAACCCTAAACCCAACAGTAAGGCTTGAGCACCTTGACCTTGGTCTCCAGCATGTCCACTGCGCTCCTTGGCCTGGGTTTAGGGTGTAGGGTTTATTATTGGGGTTATGTTGGTATAATGGAAAAGACTACTATACTATAATAGGGTATACATTGGGATTATAGTGTAGGTTTTTGGGATTTGGGGTTTAGGTTTGGGGCTTAGGGCTTAGGGTTTAGGGCATAGCGCTTAGGCTTTAGGGTTTGGGGTACCGGGCTTAGGCTTTAGGTTTTGAGTGGCATTAGCTCCTGTTACTGTTTGTTTTTGCTGCTGAATTTTTTGATTGTGTAAAAACCCTAAACCCTAAACCCCGAACCCTAAACCCTAAACCTTAAACCCAAAACCCCGAACCCTAAACCCTAAACCCTAAACCCTGAGGGTTTCTTACATCCCAGAACCCCAGGATGGTCCTTCATATTAGGATTATATTAGGAGTATATTGGGAAAATGGAAAATAAAATGGAAGCTATTATATTATACTAGGGTATATACTGGGACTATGTTGCTACAATGGAAAATGAAATGGAAGCTATTATGTTATACTAGGGTATATATTGGGATTATAGTGGGATAATGGAAAATCAAATGGAATCTACTATAGTATGATAGAGTAGGTAATTCTTCTTAGAATGGCTTGTTATGTTCCGGGCAGCGTGATGGCAGGAGTTGAAACCTTGGACCCTAAGCCGACTTCCCTAAGCTCTAAACCGTAAGCCTAGCAGAAAGGATCTCCTTCCTTGCTCAGGTTCCTGGCGCATTACAACGCGCCGAAGTTCTACCACCAGCTGCGCAATCGCGGCTCCTTGAACCCCTGTTTGGGGGTTTGGGGGGTTTTAGAGGTTTAGAATCTAGGGTTTAGGTCCTGAAGGCGAACCCTACCTTCTTCCTTAAGAGCCTGAAGCCCTGGACCTCAATACCTTTGAAGACTCCAAAGCCCAGATGCCTAACGGCCTGAGATCTCAACCTTTTGCCCCAAACCTTACATCCTACATACACCCTAGATCCAGAGCCCTGAATTCAAATCATAAGCCCTAACCCCCGACGCCCAGGTTCCCGCCGCTTTTTAGTGGCCACTCTGGCAAGTTTCACGCTGGCTTTGGTGCTGTTCGTGGCCTGCATGGTGGTGGGGTACCTGACCTTTGGGCAAAACTGCTCAGGCGTGGATCTGGGGCAAGGATGATTTCGGTCTTCGTGTTTGGGTTTGCAGGATGCAGTTGGATTATTTTCTGGAGGCCTTTGAAGACACGAAGTTCCCGCAACAGGCTCATGACTTCGAATGACGATAGTCCCGAAACTTTCCGACGTTAATCCTCCTGGATGAAGGAAATTAGCTCTTTGTGCTAGACGTGCATATGCTGAGTGTATGCCAAGGGACGACATCACGTGAGTGATCTTGAGCAAGTTCTTGGTTCAAAGCCACTATTTGCTTCTGGTTCCAGGGCGATTTGGGAATATGAGCACCATTGAGCACCCATGTCAGCAGCTGATGCCCGTATGAGGGAAGACATGGGACGATTATTTCATGGAAGTTTCTCACAGTACATAATCTGAGGTTCTGAAGGAGATGTTTATAAGCTATGACGCCTTCTCCCTTTGTGTCCCTATGGCCCTATGGTGCCAAGGGGTCCTTCTAGAGACCAGCGTATCAACATTCTTGAGCCGGGGCCAGCTTCCCAACATGAAATTTTGGAAGCCCTAAACCCTAAGCCCTAAATGGCGGGTGTCTTAGTGTGAGGCCGAAGGTCACCGGTTTTTGCCAGCACAGTGATAAACCATACCGGGCCCCGAGACTCGAGACCTTCAAAAGCTCGGTAGCTTGAGCTCTAAACCCGGCATGCAATATGTCTTGGGTTTAGGGTTTAGGGTTCAGGGTTTAGGGTTCAGGGTTTAGGGTTCAGGGTTTAGGGTTCAGGTTTTAGGGTTTAGGATTTAGGGTTTAGGGTTTAGGGTTCAGGTTTTAGGGTACTATACGAGGTCCAGATATAATGGGAAAGGAAATGGAAACTACTACAGGGCTTTAGGGTTCGGGGCTGAAGGGCAAAAACTTAAGTTGTTGAAGTCTACACTCCAGACCCCTAAACCCTCAGGCCCTAAACCCCCAGTTGGAATCCCAAGCCCGAAAGGCCGTGCCCCCTCCCCTGTAGCCTGGCCTGAAGGACCCCTGGCGTTTCTGTTCCTTTTGAGGGTAGATCAGATTGAGCCACCATATTAGAAACAAGTTTCAAGTTAAGGGTTTAGGATTTAGGGCCCGAAGCAACCTTTAATGAAGAGCAGCTCTCAAGTATTCCAAAGTTGTGGAGGCAACATCTTTCATGAGTATGGGGTAGGGTTTAGGGTAAGGGATCCCCAAACCCACAAAACGTAAGCACCCGCAGCCCAAACCCACGTTGCCGTCAAAAAGCCTAGACTCCAAAAGCCAAAGCCTTGCAACCAGACTCCAAGCCCTGCAAGCTTACATGGTAAATCCCTTAACCTCACAACATAGGCCCCTACGTTACACCCTTTTGAGCCCGTATGTAGAAAAAGAAAAAGCGTCAGTTTCCCTGTTCCGTGTTCCGTGTTCCGTGCAGTTGATGTCGCTAGTTAGATTTTTTAGGCCCCAAATCCCTTACCCCAGAATGCCCCCAGAGCCCAGAGCTCCCAGCAGAAAGCCTACAGTAAGCCTACATAACCCTCATTCTGCACTTTAAGACCCACAGCCTCTACATCCCTGTATACCCTTGTATGACCCCTATAAAACCTCTCGCCTCTTTCAAGGGATCCCCAAATCAAGTGTTGTTGCCTCTAAACCTTAAACCCCAAACCCCAAACCCTAAACTCTAAACCCTAAGCCCATGACTGCGCCTACGCGCCAAAAAGGCTTCTTTGCACGTCATGTAATGCAACTGGGAAGCGCATGGCAGCCGTAAAAACCCTAAGCCCCAAATCCTAAACGCTAAGCCGGAGGCAACATCCTCCACAACTACTCGGACTCGGATCCTGCCGCATCGGCCTCCAGGGCGGGGATGCTGGTAGCAGTGACCTGCGGCTTTCCCATTGCTTTCACAGGCCTCTGGGGTTTTATAGGGGTTATACAGAGGTTATATAGAGTTTCCTAGGGGAAAGGAATTTAGGATTTGGGGTTTAGGGGCCAAATGGTTCGTGCAGTCTACCAGGTCATAGGCTCAGGGGTTGAAGGCTTAGGGCCTAATGAAGCAGATGATACAGGGTTTCGGTTAATGGAAGCCCTGCATGACCCTAAGGGTTTCATACTTTGGGAATGATGGTAGTACATTGCATTGGGGTCATGCAGGGTTTGTAGTATGAACAGTATAACGCAATCACCGGCACTATTTTTACAATATTCTTGCGTGTCTCGTTTCGCAGTATGCCTACCTGGTTTGGAGTTGAGGGTTCAGGGTTTAGTACTGTGGATTTGCCGTGGGGGTCGGGGTGTTGGCCTCTTGTGTGATGAAAGACACATGCGTGTATGTATATCGGGCACACGCACTTATCATTATTGTTATTACTAGGTATATATGCATATGGGTGTACACACATACTCATATAGAAAGTCCGCCTCAAACGCTAGACTTTGCCTTGGCCTTTACACTAGGCTAAGAGAGCTGAGTGGCGGAGGATTTCAAGGCTTACTGTTACCATTCCAGCCCCCAGGCCATTCAAGGCATATGGAAAGCTAAACCTCACGCCGTAGCCTGATCTCAAGGTTTCCATCCTGGCCCTTGGGTCATTCTGAGGCCTCCTTGAGGTGGACTCCGTTAGTCTGTTTGCAGTCCATGTAACCCAATTGTTTGTTTCCCCTACCTTTGAGGCCCTTTGCTTAAAAACCTTAAGCTCCAAACTGTACCATAAACCTTAAGCCCGAATACTACAGTTCTGAAATCCTCGGGAAAGCAACGAGACCCCAAGACCTTACATGACCTTAAATCCTAAGCCCCAAGCCCTAAACCCTATACCCCAAACCCTAAACCCTCCTCACATCAGGCCTCAGGGACTCCGCTCTGTCGCTTTGTTCCTGCTCCTCCCGGCGGAGGGTCTGGATTCCTGTGACTGGGTCAGCTTACGGTTCAGGGTTTTGGGTTGAGAGTGTAGGGTTTGGGGTTTAGGGTTTAGGATTGAGCTTTTAGGGGTTGGGGCGAAGGGTTTGGGGTGCAGGGTTCGTGGTTTAGGGTTTAGGGCACTGTGATTTTTTCTGGGGCTCCTCTTAAGAAGCCAGAAGACCAGAAGACACGGTCTCGGAATACCTTTTGCCCTTACCTTAATAACGTCTTAAATTCTCAGCCCTAGCAACAACGTGGTTTTATGTGAGCGCCAGGGTCGGCGTAGAGGGTTCTGGGTTTTCTTTGGGCTAGCAGGCAATCAGGTGATACAGGGGGTTGTCAAAAGTGTGGTTCCTTTCTGGGTGCCGCCCGTATTTTCACTGGGACCATAGGGAGGGGACCCCTCATTTTGACAAGCTACAAGATGGATTGGCCTGGAAAGTCTGCACGAGCACCAGCAGCGGCAGCAGGTTGTTGCAAAGTTGCGGCACTTTCACAGGCAGAATCCTTTACATACGGTTTGCAAGTTCCGTTTGCTGTAGTCTTGTCTCTAAGTGCTTCGAGACTGTCCAATATCATACACCCCAGACCATAATCCCTAAACCCTAATTCTAAGCCGCGTGAACCTCAGCTACCTGGACCTGCTTTACAGGTCGCTCCGTGTGTGTGACCCCTACAACAAAGCTAGATCTCCCAAAAACCTTGAGGGTTGAGGGCTGAAGGTTTAGGGCCCGCACTATTAATATGCCCATACATCCAAGTTTGCAAAAAACGGTGCTAGTAGTATGGGTATTTGGGAGGTCTGCGTACACCTTTGATCCCAAATACTGAGCCTGAAGTAGAGGTTACCAAACCTTCATTCCTTGTGCAGACATCCAAAGAGCCTCCTATTCAAACGCCCTAAACCCTAAACAAGCCCCAAAGCTTTGCCTAAACCTTAAGCCCTAAAATCAGAACTAAACTCTAAACTCTAAACCTTCAACAACCGAGGTGACGCTAGCCCTGCTGACGCTCATCGGGGCTCTGGGATGGTCCTTTGACGAGCTGAGTATTTCTGTTTACTCTTTCAGGCTTAGGGGTACCGTAGTGATTTGGGGTTTAGGGTTGCATGGATGTAGGGTAGCTGGCGTAGGGCTTGGATTTAGAACCTTACACTTGAAGGGTTTAGGGCTTAATGTTTTGGGGGGCCTAGAGTGACGTTTTTTTTGTTTTGCGTGGGAGGGCCGAGGGCACAGGTGTTAGATAGGGTTTTTGGTTTGCGGTTGCTAGCACTTGAACGCAGTAAGGATGTTGAGTTCACATGATGCAGTTGAGGTTGTGAGCATCAGTGCTGTTTTTTATACTTGTAGTGCCAGACTGTTCTAAGCTTCGGTAGCTTCTCGGCGTTCAACTTAACAAAGGAAGTCAAGCATCATTTCTTGAACCCTAACCTATACCTGAAACTCCCCAAACACCCTAAACCCGTTACATCCCCCCAAAATCCCAAAATCTCAAACCGTGAGCTCCCTAGAGTTCCTAAAGCGAAAACCCTAAATCCTAAACCCTAAACCTAAACCCCTAAACCCCTAAACCCTAAACCCCTAAACCCCTAAACCCTAAACCCCTAAACCCTAAACCCTAACCCCTAAACCCAAAACCCTACACTATAACCCCAATGTATACCCTATTATAATACAGTAGTTTCCTTTTTCTTTTCCATTATCCCTGTATAAACCCAATA